CTCCGAACAGTTGCAAAATCTTCCAGCAACATCCAGGGGTCACAAAGGGGTGGTGTTTGGTCCCTAAGTGAGTGGATAATGGGCGCCCCTAACCTCCAATAGGCACCCCTTTGTGACTCTTGGATCATTCACTTAAGTCTCCCAAACTCTTGGGGCAACTGGTGGTCCTTCGAGGGTGAAATACTTGAGATGAAGCGGTGCCGCAAGCAAGACCCTCTTGAGATCCTGGGGGAAACTTCCATGAAACTGGTATGGGCATGGGGAGTCGCAATGTATCCCTATGACTTTGTATTTGGAGAAGCACTACTAATAGTATCACCAGGATAGTGCAAAGTTAGCTCGTCCTGCCGTAGTTTTTCGAAAAATGGTCTCAATATTGACAGAAAGGCGACTCTGAACCAGGCAGCATGTATTTGGGGGTAACCCTGGAGTCACCAAGCGCCCCCTTCTACACAACATCGCCAGCTGTCCGCCTGAGGCGAAGTCGACCCGTCAAAACCCGGTTCTTCCAGCGCTTTGGGAAGTTACAGTATTCTATTTCTTGGTAAGTATGCAATTGCTTTTGGCCTGTGTATGAATATGTGTGCACACCTGCTTTTGGTAAGTGACGTAGAGAACACCCTTCACTGAAGTCCAAGTGTCCCATGGCGAGGGTCGCACTTCACCATCATCGACGCCGGCTCGAAGACGGACATGGTGATCTCCGCCACTGAGAGCTGCTCATGGTAGGCCTTCTCGGCACTGATCACCGGCGCATAGGAGGTCAACATGAAGTGGATCCTCAGGTGGGAAAGGGAACACAAAACCAACGCGAACCCAGACGAAACCTCATTGGAGACAAAGGGTGCAGTACATCATGGTTTGCAAACGTCATCGCTTGAGACAAAAGGCCTGAGGGGACCTAAAGCATATCTTTTGATACTCTCTAATATGTGCCACAAGGTGCTGATCTACAATACGAAGATGTTGCACGAATTCGCGTTCTAATTCATGTATCCCTCCTACACCAACTCAGAGGAAACACATTAACAAACAATTCAACCATCGTTTCCGTTAGCCTCTGCAAAAGCCGGCATCGTTCTGGGTTCATTCAATGTCAATAACCGGAAAAGTGTCCTGTCTCATGAATTCACGTTGCACCTGCATGGTCTGAATGCTAATGAAAAAAAACATTAAACATTGCAAATTATAAAGCCAAAAAACCTGGGGTAGGGCACCAAATTGGTCTGGAACTCAGTGATGTCCACGTTCAAGGCTCCATCAAAGCGGAGGGAGGCCTGGACTGGTCAAATGGTTTGCAGCGCAAAAAAGCATCACTTCTGACCGCAAACGTGCTTCATCTGACCCAGGGACCGTCAACGAAGAGATGATCTGCGCAATCAACCTGTTCAGGTTGGTGTAGGTTGGACGCTCAATGTCCAGATTGCGGCGACAAATGTCGTACAGCGCTTCGTTGTCGTACATGATCGTCACATCTGTGTGTTCAAGCAAAGAATGCACGCACAACCTGGAAATAGTTGGGAAAAGACATGCCAAGACCGCAGCCTAAGTCCCCACCCACACACACCAGCGACAACAAACCTGCAAACGCTACTAAACAGTTTTGGTCCATGAACACGGTGTTGTACGGTTCCACGACTGCTGTGGCGACTTGCGGGCAGCACCAGACCTTGGACGTCGCTTCGTGCATTGGGCCGCCATCCGGAACCCAAACTACAGCTCACGGCTTTCACATGCAACACAGCCATGCCCTTTTCGGCTGAGAAGCTGTGAAGGAGATCTTGCTCTTCTTGCCGTAGTCCACAGAAAGTCGCTCCAACATGAGGCAGCCAAGGCCGGAGCCAGTGCCACCACCGCAAGCATTGTAGACACAAAAACCTTGCAGACCTTAGGCACGCCACAATAGATTTTTTCAAGACCGAGTGCTCTTTGTGGTACCAACCGACTTGCCACCCGCCCCAACTTCTAGTTACAGTCACTGTTTTCGTCACCTATCCATAGCGGCTGACGCTTCAAGTACTAAAGCCGAAATGGAACAAGTTAGAGCGACCAATGACCGTTTCCAGGAGACACCACGGGGAGGTGGTCGGCCACGCTGCCTCCAAAAACTAGGAGAAACGACACGCGCCACTGATAAGCGCCAACTTCCTGCAATGGTTGCACTGAAACCTTGCAATCGCGCATCACAGCCAGAATGCCTTCACACCCGGCCTCCGCTGCGGGATCATGACGCCACCATCGCCCACCTCGATGGCACACTCCACAATTACCCAGATGAGCTCAAGCTTGTCAGTAGCCAATGCATCCTGGATGTCCTTCAACTTGGCCCGTCTCTGGCCATGGGTCTGGGCGTTCGAGGTATTGGGTGAGCGACTGAGCGACATGCTTTGCTGCAAGTTTGCTGCAAGGGCGCTCAGCGCGACGAAAGCATCCCAGGCAAGGCATTACAAAGCTTCATGCCCACAAAATTGTCAACAGGGCGCATGCAAACCGCTAACCCCTTGGCCTTGACAATCTGTGGATCTTCGAACTCCATCCCCGAATGCGAGCGTTTACTCGAACACCTAGCTTCTCCTCGGGCGACAAGCCACAGCGACGCCTTGAAGGCCCAAACGCATTATTAGATTAATGCCTTTGTGGGCATGACTTGCACGCTTCTACTTCTGAACGCAAGTGCAACCCTCATAGATGATCTGTAGAAAAGCCGTTGCTGCAGCGGGCACTATACCATCCGGCGAACTCATCAGCAAGCTGGAAGCTGCTCGGAAAACATCGGCTTTGCGGCCCCAAGGTTCATCAGGGTGGTATCACAAGCTCGTCATCTTCGCGCATGCCACCGCGCAGATCGAACATGCCCAGTGAACCTCGCCGAAGTGGATAAGGCTGAACAACATTGTCAAAGTGTCCAACCAGGAGGTCAATACAGGTCATCCCCTGTGCGCCATACGTGAAAGGCACCGTGCTCTCCACATCCAAGGGATGTTCATGCACTTTAGGTCATCCTGGCGGGCTCGACACAACCGTCGCGATCACACATCTTGGGTCCACAGGCCACACGAAGGTGTGATATTTTTTCAGGTTGGAGCGCCAGCAAATTCGGACCTAAGCACGAACCCTCTCAACAGGAAAACCGGCGTGTGGAAAAGCCACGGTGGTAATTTGCACAAAGACCGTTCCTTTCTAAGCCAAAGCAGCGGTAGAGGGAGCACTGTAGGCCACAGAATGCGACGAACTAAAACCCAAAGGCCAGCCTGATTGTTTAAAATTCGTTGGTACCGTTCTGGGCCTATGCAAGTGAGAACACGTCAAGGATGCGCAAAAACGGTTATGAGGGTAAGTACCTGGGCGAGCACTGTACTCGCCAAGGTGTCTTGCGCCAGCTGGGCGTAGCCATCCAGATGCTGAAGCGCAAATCCACATTCGCTTGCGGCAGCAGGCAAGCTTAGCGTTCACCTTTATCTTGTTGAAAAGGTAGGTTTCTTGCCCTGGCCGGGTGACGTTTGTTGGACAGTCCAGAGTCAAGGCCAACGCTGCGACTTCCATAGCGGAGCCCGCAAGCCCCGGACTGACAACTTGCTGAGATATTGCTGAAAAACCTTTCTTTCATGACAACATCGCCTTTAGGACGACATCCATTCATCTTTCTGGTCGACCAGCAGTAATGAGTTTGAGCAGCGCCAGGGTGCCGAGGAAGTCCAAGCCCAACGGCTTTGGCGACCCACACACTCAGCGACGTTGGCCTTCCACCTTTATTTCAACTTTCAATCCGCATCTGTCGAAGGTCATCTTGGAACAAAGCAGTTGTTTCTTGTTGCAAAGTGTCAGCACAAAATTCTGCGTTCCAGAGAGCAATGTCTCGAAGCGACTGCACTTGGGGAGACAACTGGCGCCCTCTGTCCACAACCATCTTTCTCAAGTGATCGTTAGTTGGCTCACGGCCAAGCCGCACGACCTGACGAAGCAAACAACGGAGCCAACGTATAGCACCGGTTCGTTGGAATCTGCAACAATGGATTGGGGTTGTCTAATACGAGATGCCACAATGCAGATCGCAAAACGCCCGCAGACCGGCCGCGCAATGCTTTTCCAGCTATTCCTGACAAGAAAGCCCAACAGGCATCACCGTCACCAAGAAGCGAACTTCTCAGTGTTCATGCCAGCCTAGCTCAAGGCTTGAGAGATGGACCAAAACAAACAATCACCATTGCCAGGATTTGCAAGTTCGGTCAATCCAGTAGGGATGCCAGGAGAAGCATGTCTGTGCTTCTTTGACGGTTGCTTGTTTTCAGGGGAAGCACTTGGTGCTCTCTTGGCAGCAGACTGAATGTCTTCGCTACCTTCCGTATATATAGATCAGGAAGATCAAGGTCTGATTCGGCACCTGCATCAGTGTCAGCAACTTTGTCTTCCTCGTACCAATTAAGGAGGATTGGTCTGAAGAGTACCAAGAAGTGACCGGACTCCATCTTCAGACCAATCCTCCTCAAAGACGCGCAGCAGCTGTTCGTCCGAAGCTGTCAAGCGAAGCCGTGCGCGACTGACGTCCCAACATTGGTAAAATTATCAAACTGATATGCAACAACAATATCATGATCAGCCAGCTGCCTGGCTGCAAAAGAGCTACGCCCAAAGTCAGGTTGCGGTTTTCTTCCGAAACCAAACCGATGATTCGGAAACCAAGCATGATTCGGAAACCAAAGAAACATTATTGCTCGGAAACCAAAATGATGATTCGGAAACCAAAACGATTATTCGGAAACCAAATATTATTCAGAAACCAAAAAGGAACTATTCTGACACCAACGATTATTCGGAAACCAAAATGAATATTCGGAAACCAAGCACAACGACGAAACCAAGCTGACATGTCCGCTGGCATTTGGTCCCGGTCGTTGTTTTGCATGGTCTCAAAAACGTTTCTACACTCTACACCAGCCTCATCCCACCACTCAACCTACTGTGGTTCAGAACCCAGCTGCCATCTGCCACGAATATCACACCCCACCACCCCTCCCAACCTACTGTGATTCAGAACCCAACTGCCCTTGCCTTGCACGGTCACTATACATCTGCCAGGAACGTTATTGCCCAGCCCCATACCACCCCGCCCAACCTACTGTGATTCAGAACCCAACTACATCTGCCAGGAACGTGATTGCCCCAGCCCCGTCCCACCACCCCACCCAACCTACTGTGATTCAGTATCCAGCTGCCATCTCCCAGGAACGTTATTACCCCAGCCCCATCCCACCACCCCACCCAACCTACTGTGATTCAGTATCCAGCTGACATCTTGCAGGAACGTTTTTGCCCCAGCCCCATCTCACCCCACCCAACCTACTGTGATTCAGTATTCAGGGCCATCTCCAGGAACGTTATTACCAGCCCCATCCCACCACCCCACCTAACCTACGCTGATTCAGTACCAGCTGCCATCTCTCAGGAACGTTATTACCCCAGCCCCAAACCACCACCCCACCTAACCTACTGTGAAGTTGGTTGCTGAATCATTGGTTTTTGGTTGCTGAATCACGGAATGTTGGTTTCTGAAGCGCGGAATTGTGGTTTCTGAAGCGCGAAATTTTAGTTTCTGAAGCGCTGCAAGTTTGGTTTCTGAATCGCGGTTTTGGTTTCTGAATCGCGCACTTGTGGTTTATCTGAATCGCGGATTTTTGGTTTCTGAATCGGACTCTTTTTCCAAAGTCAACACAACGATGTCCCCCAGGCCGCGTTGAGCACGGCAACCCCTGGAAGTCATAGTTCAGCGCGTGCGCGGGGCCACAACTCAACGGGCAAATCACCGGCACAACCTCCGACTCCACCGTAGTGTTGAAATCGCCCAACAACACCCAGGGCCCAGGGCAAACCCACCGAATGCAAAAAGGAAAGGCTCGCCAAAATCAAACGATCACGAGCCTCATGATCGGACGCATGGCCATAAATAGAGCCAACCAAAAGTTTCAGGGCACGACCGGCTGATTCATGCCCCATCAACGAATTCACCTCAACGCAGCCCAAAGCCAATCTGCGAGAAGCAGAAATTTCTTTAGGACGAACAGGACGGAAAGGCAAAGCAGAGAGTAAAGCTCCAATCGGTGACGCCACCCTCGTGGACATAGCCAAAGACAACCTCAAACCCTTGAAAGCGCCAGAAGTCCCTGGGCGCGAGTTCAACTCAACGCCAGTCTCTTGGAGAACAATACAAGAGATATTAGAAGCGCGTGCAATATCCAGGATGGCTGCAACCTTCGCCGCAGCTGCTGGCACATTCAACGTGGCCACCTGCATCTTGAGCTCGACAAAGACTCACCCAAAATTGCCCGCAGCACAACGGACCGCAACTGCTGAAGCCCAACCTTGGAGAATGAGTCTGGGACATCTTCCGCTTCTTTCTGTTGGCGGGGTCAGTGCTTGCTTTGAGCACTCTCAGCCTCTGAGCCCGAACCCTCTTCTGGCCGAAGGACTTTCATGTTCTCTGGCTTCAATATAGCAACAGGAGTCGTGATGAAAAGGCAAAAGTTTATGCTTTCCCCATCAATGCGATGTTCCGCACACCGCGATGGTACAGTCATTATTATATAAATTCCACTCCACACGAGGCACATCTTTACTGTCGCGACACTTGGCATGAAAGGTCCATCAATTTTCTCGGCGCCGCCGAAACATTTCGAGTGGTTCAAAGTTGTCAGAACTGGCCTTCCAGACCCAAGATCATGACTACAAGCTCGAAGACCTGGCTTGTCGGACTCCAACTTGTTTATCACTTAATGGTGCTTTTTTGCTCCAGGGAAGCATGGCCGCGAATCCCTTGGATCTCAGTCAGGAGGCTCAAGCTACCATCGACAGGACTTCCCTCTTGGCCACTGGCACACAGCAGGATGGTGACAGTCGCATCCACCGGCACGTGGCGGTTGGGCCTGCCAATGTCACCAACTTGTCGTACGTTACACAGCTTTGGCGTTACGGGCCCGGACTTCGCTGACATAAGGAGAAAGTTATCAACCAACGCCTTTGCTGGTGCAAACGACTATTCCAGGCCAGGTGAAAGCGGACTTACAGGCATTGCAATGGACTGACATAGTCTCAGCAAGGCCCCTACTCAGACTCGGACGTGTCAAAATCAGGCAAGAGCGCTTGCCGACCCCAGAGAAGTCAAGTAGACTTCTGAAAAGGCTACCACCATCACACATATGATGTAAACGCTGGATTGGAGCGCCTCAGTCGCATTCAAACACCCACCACTACCTGGAAAGTGGCACTCTTGGTGGACATGACAAAGCATGCACCTACATATCTACTCTACATATATGAAAGCAAAGGCCTCCCTGTGTGGCATTGGAAAGCTTGCAGCTGTGAACCATGGTGCTGCAAGCTTGAGCCCCGAGAAAGCACATTAGGGGATTGTCTCACTCTCATACACCATCAGGCCTCAAAGGCTTTAGCCACGCGCTAGCACTCGGCCAACAACATTGCAGTCCAACAAGTGTTGACATTGGCTTATCATATTTTATCTCATGTCTGGATAGGTGACGAAAACAACGCGCTATTGCAGGTTCCAGCATTAGGAGTCGCTTCATGGACTAAGGTCCAAAAGTTCAAACCAAGACATCGATACAGTTGTTCCAGAAGCCACACGACTATAAAGGACCATCAATGCCGTCATACTGTTGATTGACAAAATCCTGCACCACTTTGTGCACAGTTTTCTTGCTGCCCTCGTTCTCCCTCGTTAACATTGGGGCCACCACAGTGAGAAAACACAAACAAGTTGAAGGTCCAAAATCCTGCACCACCTCCTCAGAGGGTTCGCGCCAACATTGAACGAGGGGGCGCGGGGGTTGCTATGCGACCCTTCCAGGGTAAAGTGGTGAGGTGGTGCAGGATTTTGTCCATCAACAGTAGGTCCCAAACCAGTGATATGCGTTACATCCGCAAGATTGGAAGAACATGTTCTGTGGGATCAAGATCAAGTACAGTAAAGAAACCGGTGCAGTTGTCAGCCAACTTCCTGATCCTGTCCAAGACCAGGTCGACAATCTCCTTCCCGATGGTGTAATGCCCACGTGCAAAGTTGTTGGCGGCATCTTCTTTTCCGGAGATCAGCTGCTCAGGGTGGAACAGCTGGCGGTAGGTGCCAGTGCGGACCTCGTCGACGACAGTTGGCTCGAGGTCAACCATGACCTTGGCTGGCCAGTTCCAGTTCCCCAAAGTTGTTTTATCATCTTGGGGTTCTGATTAGGCCTAGATTTCATGGACGAAGAACTTTAAAACCAACAGGTGAAAGAGTAAAGGAGGAAAAATTAAAAGACATTCCATATTCCCAATCATAGTTGAAAGGCCGGAACCAACAGCGCGACAAAACTTAAACGCGCACAGTAGGCCCTAGGCCCTAAGCCCGAGCTGCACATCGCGGGACATGCTTGCCCGCGCCCGTCTCTGAGAAGAACCTGCCCGGTGCATCGGGCTCCCGCCGAGTACAATTCAGAGGTTTGGAGATGGCCATCTGATGAACAGGTTTGGAGGAGGTTCGGAGAAGGTTCGGAAGAGGTTTGTTAACTTTCTGTGAACAATTTCTTCACAATTGAGATGGCCATCAGGAGAAATCAGGACCCAATTGGTCTGGAGATGGCCACCCATCTTCACATGACACAATTTCTTGTTCACTTTCTTTTGCCACAAGAAACCTCCTGTTCCAGAACACTGGCAGCTCCAAACAACAGCAAGGGGCCGGGGGGGTAATCTTTTTGTGGGGGAATCCCTGATCCATCAAAGGCCCAACAGTTTAGGAGGCTGCAGATTGGCAAAGAGCAACAAGGAATCTGCGGAATCCTTTTCCCAAAGCACTGGGGGGTGGGCAGGAGGGAGTTTTCGGGGTGCAAAGCCCAGGAACGTGTTGAAGGCATCATCACCACCGCCAATGGTCTTGTCGCTTGGCATCTGACCATCCGGCTGGATACCATGCTCAAGGCAGAAGAGCTCCCAGCAAGCATTGCCGATTTGGACACCACCCTGACCTCAGATGAAACCAGATCTAGGTTGACATGTCAAAGAAGGTTCATTGATGTAACATGAACACTATTAATGGCCACAGTAACATGAATGGCTTTGAACGTTGATATAGTTAAATTTGATATAATGACATTGACATAACAGGGAACCCTATTTGGATGAACATTCAAAATTACGCTCTTCTGCTGTTATTCCCTCCAAATGCCCTTTCTTGAGTCATACCCATGTCACGAGAGATCATGAGAGTGCTATTGAATCTCCTTTCTAGCCAAAGGGCCAATGTGGATGCAGATGGCCTCACGCATGGCTTAGACGGGTTTGAAGCACAAAGACGGGAAAGCGCGAAGAAGCGAAGAGGTTGCGGAAAGTGCCGTTCAGCGCACCGCGTGATGTGGCAGCCTTGGACACAAATCCTCGAGCACAAACAGTTGCAGATCATATGCACCTGAATAGACAGACGAAGCTTTCTGGCGGCTTTGATCTAGTTCTGTCAAGTCAAAAAGGATACCAACAAACGCAGAGCTGCTAGCTTAGCAGGTCAACAAAGGATGTTTCCTCTGAAGGCTGAAGCACCAACGAGATGCCACAAATAGTGCACCAGGAAACCTCTTCCAGATTCATCCAGTGACATGGTCCACCAGATGTCATCCCTGCCCGTGAAACAACATGTCCTAGCGCTCCCTCCCGGCTCCCTTTCTCCACGGCCGTTCGCACGCGGAGAAAACATCCGTTCGCTCGTGGATGCGGATGCCGTTGGACCGGTGGATGAAACAAAGCAGACAGAGGACCAACAGGAGGTGGGGCAAGAAGAAAATCCCCAATTCACTGATAGGCGAACCGAATTCTTTTGGAATAGAGAAAAGGAACTATAACACCATCCGATCCCCTTTTCTGTGATGTCCCTCATCCACACCTCATCCACACCTCGTGACACCTGCACCTGCTCGATCCGCCCTACTTCAGCTTCATCGACCTCGGTCGCTCATTGCACCGACCTCGGTCGGGTCTCCGGTCTGCGGTCAGCTGAGAAAGACGGCACTGAACGATTGTGCTGGGCGGCGCCCAGAAGAGCACCCGATTCCAGTGCAACTGAAGGAGCAGTGAAGATAGAAGGAAGACTGAAACTGCAAGTAGGTAGCCTTTTTCTGTGGCGTTTCGACCAAACGCCTTCAATTGTGCATCTCCCCTTGGAAAAAGCCCCGGAACGTTGGGTGTAGAATTCCTCCTTTTCAGTGCCTCCCAAGTCGAGAATGGACTCCGCAGGAGCTTGGTCTACTCGAGTCAGATAGAGGGAGATGTGGAGAATCCAGGGTAGTTTTGCAGGGTCAACACAAGTTAAGTCGGTCACTGAGGCTGTCAGCTCAAGTCGGGTCAAGTCAGGGTACCCTGGGCTGTGAAAGAAGGAGCTAAGAAGGTCATCTCACAAAGCTTATCCGACAAGGTGGTTCAACCAGTTTGACGGCAACTGAACTACGTCGTTCAACCAAGGGACATTGGAAACACGTTGGGAAAATGGAAAACACATGCAAGAAAACACCAGATTTCCTCCATGCTGAAGGTCCCTGGTCAAGGTCCCGCCTTGTTCACACCATGTAAAGATTGCCGATTCCTGGGGTTCTGTGCTCCATATTACTCCCCGTGCGGTGGGCCGTGCGTGAGGTCGAAAAGGTCCGTCCCAGGAGCTCGCTGATGCACCAAGAGGGCAGCCCCAAGGCAAACAGGAAGGAAGCACTGATAGAGATCCTGAGGCGCTTTGCAAGGGACACACAGAATGACTCCTTTCAAAAAATGAAAACGGCCGGAGGTCTTCAAATGTTCATGTTCATCAGATGCAGGTCATTTGATCGAAAAAATGTATAAAATCAAAAGAAAACGCAGGTGCTCAAATGGAGGACGGACTGCTTGGGGGGGGGGTCTTCCTTTTGGGGTGTGGCGCACGACCTTCGCTTCACCTTCGCATGGTCTGGTGCGCCGGAAGCCGAGTCGCATGGTGCCCACCACGAAGAGCAGGTCTGGGGCGAAGTCCCGAAGAAGCAGCGAGGACCTGGTGGTCTTGAAGACTGGTCCGGTGGGACGACGTGAAAGAGAGCCCCAAGAGTGTTCGAAGGAAGAAACCAACAAGGGAGGGCCTGCCCTCGCAATCACAAACGAAAACATATAGTCACCCATTGACCCATTGAGCGGTCTATATCCCACTACCGGTACGAGTGGATGATGATGGTTCAGTTGCAGGCGCCCACATCTCAAGGTCGACATCTCAGAACGGAGAAGCTTTGAACCCGACGGCTATACTGTTATTGGGACACATTGATCATTGACGATTTTCACTGCAGATGGGGTCCCACAGCTCAGATCGTCTCTGATGGGATCGTTTTTGAGGTGAAAACCGATTTCGTAGAGGAAAGTGGCCCAATCCATGCTTAGCTTGCATTACTGAAAGTCGTCTTCCAAGGGATCATGCCATCCACTTCCATGTCAGTGAGTCAGAGTGTACTTTCACTTACTTTAATCATCTTCAATTGAAGAACCTGTTTGATGCGTCGTTGTTGGCCACCAACAGGCGAAAGAAGAACTGGGAAGCCCGGGAACTGGCTGCATATGCGGCTCACGGTCACCACTCGAATCCTGCTAGACCTAAACTGCGAGGCTGGATGATGGTCATACAGACCTCAACTACTTGGAAGAGTGAGTGAAATGACCTGCGGGTACCTCATTGTCGGCCATAGACACCATAGAGGTTTCCCCATTCCCCCAGCCCACATGATGCAGGTCTTCAAACATGATGCAAATGACTTCTTCCAAGCCACATGATGCAGGTGAGAATGATCGACAACGCAGTGCTGAAGCATCCATGGGTGGCGCCAGCATACTTTAACATCACCGCACACAGCAAGCCACCAAAGGCGTTCATGCCGATGACCAAGAAGACACGGATGTTGTAGCCTCCAAAGCAGAAGACATGATCTTCAATATCTTCAATGGGTTGCAAAGCCAGAAGGAAACCCTGACGCATCACCCATGTTTCATGCTGGCAGAGAAGTCCCCACGAGAAAGAAACGAAAACCCGTCAAACAATGTCAAACATAGTCAAACAGTGAACGTTCACGACCAGGTCATAGAGCCAGGAGGTTCTCATGTAGACTCTGTAGACTCTTGATGAATAACCCCCCCCACATGGTGGAACTGAACCTCCAGTTGAAGTATCATCAATTACACAGCCTCCCGCAAACGGGGTTTTTCATCAGATGCGCCCCACTGCCTTCCCACCATTCCAGCCAGCAGCAAACCAGGCAGAACACATGGTCGGTTTCGTGCAGCTCCCCCCTCTCCAGGCGAAGGCAAAATCATCTTGGTTCAAGGGTTCATGCATGTTCATGCCATCCACGATGCGCCATGTGGTGTTTATCGGAGTGTACCTCCAGTGTCATCAGTAGATGCCCCATGCCCCCCGTGATAACCGGCCCAACCTGCATGGAAACCGCGCAAGGAGATCACCTCCCCATCCTGCGCCACCTGTTTGGTCCCCGTCCGCAGATGTGGGTCCATCAGGTTGGGCAAAGAGGTTGCGAAGAGAAACACAAAGAGGAAACCTGAAGCATTTAATTTGACTCGTCAACACGAATCTCTTAAACTCCTTGTGCTTATGTGCAGCATGCGAATGCGCTTGAACACGAAAAAGAATCATGTCCATCTGCCATCAACCACAGCTACTGCGAGGAAAAATGCGCACGAAGAAGTCGGCACATCGTGCAGTTTCAGCCACCCCCCAGTTGGCCTGGAACTGGAAGCCTCCCAAAGAAAATGTCACTCTCCCACACCAATGGATGGAAGGTAGGACACAACTTGCTTCATCTCCCTGATCAACTGCTGACTTCTACGAGTTTGCACTGCCCCCAAACGGCCAGGCTGCCAACCCTGATTGGCTACAATGCCACCCTCTGCACTGACTCAACACCGGCACACAAACCAGGCTGTGCCACCCCAGGGCTTCGCGGGTTTTGGGTGATGTCTCTATAACCATTCCAATCCCAATCCCGATCCACCTGGTTTTTCGTTTGCTCCACTCCCTCCACTCCCTGCACTCCAAGGCGCAGCCACCATGATGCTGGTGCAGGAGCCGAAGAGGCCCAGTTGCACGTTCCGCATCCAAATCTCGGACACCGGCCACCGCCGAAAGACACCGACACCGACACAACCGGTCGCCTATGAAAGAAGGACCGGCGAAGCGTGTCGACCGAGGATTATGATCGATCCGAAGGTCGACTGACCTGCGAAATGTCCTCTGCATGGAAGACTATCCTTTTGAAACTGTTCGCTGCTATCTAAGTTCAGCATACACCATGCCGACAATGTCTTCTTCTTGTCAAAAGGACAAGGCGTGGGCTGAACAGCTGCAATTGAATATGCTCATACTCTCTCAGCGCAACAATTGCGCCACTTCAAACTGGCTATTGCATGCTGCAAGCATCAAGGCAGTTCTCCCAACCTGCCGGGCCCGCATTCTTGTCAGCTCCAGCCTCGAGCAACAATCGCACCACTTCCAAGCAGCCATTCTGAGCTGCACCCATCAAGGCTGT